CCCGCGGCTCGGGCGGCTTCGGAGGCGGCGGAGGCGGCGGCCGGGCCGGCGCGGCGGCTCCGGGCTCGCTGTGTGTCTGAGCCCCGGCGAGGAGCGAACTGCGGAGGACGCCCCCTCCCCTCCCCCTCCCCCTCGGCTCCGCTCCCCCTCCCCTCCCTGCCCGCCTCCCTCCCCTCCGCCCTCCTCTCGGCCACGTGACTGCGGAGCCTCAGCCTCGCCGCGCGGCGCTCGCCCGCCCGCGGCTCGGAGGGGGCGCCCGGTGCTCCGCGCTCCTGGTCCGGGGGACACTCGGGGGCCGGCATGGCAGCAGGGACCGGCCGAGTCCGCGGCGCGCAGACACTTGGCGGCCCTGGGTCTTATGCCCACCGTTCGCTGGGGGCAAGAGGATGGAGAAGGGTCGGCCACAGCACCTGCCCTCGGGGGATCCCGGAGCGCCCGCCGACCTCAGCCTCCGAGCGTCTCGGGCCATGCCCCCCGCCCCGGACAGAGAGCCCTAGCGGAGCAGCACCAGGGGTAGCGGAGAGAGAGACGGGGCGGGTCTCTGAGGCAGGTTCCGGGATGCAAGGGGAGCCAAAGGGGACCCGACGCGGACGAGCGTCGCGGAGCAGAGCCCTAGCTAGCGGCGCAGACCTCGGTGGGAGCCCATCCCCCGCCCCGCGGGCCCGGCGCTCAGCCGCGAGTCAGGCAGAAGGCTCGGACTCTGAAGCCTAATTCATGGCCGGAAACCGGCGCAGCCGTGACCGCGGCGCCTGGACGTGAGGAGCCTTACAAGCGGCCGGCGTACTCAGACTCCCCACTCTGCACGGAGCCTTCACGCCCGAGCCCGGGCTGTGAGCCCGCTCCTGGCGGCCCGCGCCGAACCAGCTCTCTCTGCCGCCTGGTGAATGCCTCCGGCGGGCCACCACCAGATGCAGGGTTAACCACTCTGGGCTCAAAAGCCTGGGAGGAGGTGGCAAGCCTGATGCGCAGCTCCCCCACCCCCAAGTCCCAGACTGGGCTCCACGTGGCACACCCAAGATTTCGCGGAGACAGCTGAGACTTCCTGGACCCCAATTCAGCGGAAGCTCGGTCTGGGCGCGCCTGGCAGAGCCTAGTGTAAGGGGCCGCTGGAGAAAACCCAGGAGCGCCCCTTGGCCCTGTAGTCGGTCAGCCAGAAGGTACCTGCCATGCCTTGCGCTGGAAGCAAGGGACCTGGAGAGGCTTAACAACAGACCTTGCCTGGAACTCCCCGTGCAGTGGGAGAGGCGGACACCTAAACAGATCATTAAAAGATGTCACGAGGACCTTGAATGAGCCATGTATACACGTGGCCAAGCATGCGAAGAAGAGCCAGGGATGGCTTCCTGGAAGAGGTGACAGTTCTAAAAGCTGAGTGGAGGTTACCAAGGGAGAAGGAAGAGAGGCCTCCAGGCATTGAACACTGGTTATCCAGCCAAGGCAGGAAGATAAAGAAGGGTGTGTGTGTGTGTGTGTGTGTGTGTGTGTGTGTGTGCACGCGCATGGGTGTGTGTCTCTCAAGCTGCCAACCACGGAGGAGTCATTGACAAATGTTACTTTGGAAAGGTGGGGGAGGTGGCTGTGCAGAGAGGGCCAAGTACAAGCTTGGAGAGCAATGAGGCAGCCCTTGCAGTGGCTGCTGGGGCTGACTCAGCCTGGTGGGGGCAGCCTGGTGGAGAGTAAAAGCTGGGTTAGAGAAATAGCAAGGAACCACACCAGCAGGCAAACAGCTTCCAGGATGAGGAGCCAATGGGCAAGAAGAGAGGAATGACCAGGCCTGAAGGCGGTGGGGCTTGGGGGCTGGGTGTGGTGCCCACACAAATGCACTTCCTCAAGAAACCTATCTTTGGGGCCTTAAGTTATAAAGTATGCCCCACCCAGCCTCTCCAAACCCCCACTCACCCATGCCTCCATTCTTATTCTCTCAAAATTCCACCATTTGCTGGCCAAAAAGTTATAGAAAGTAGAGAAATAAAGGATGGACTTTATTATATAACAATGTGGTTCCTATGAGACTGTCCACCTTGAAAAGATAGTGGGTGTGGTCGTCCAGTAGGTGCTCAAACCTGAGGTCAAGAGTCACAGGGTCAGAAATCCCCAAACTCAACTTGTTTGGGCCTCTGCAGTGTGTTAGTAAAGTATGTGATACTTCTAACACAGTTAGAAGTTTCCTTGATGTATGTAGTAGCACTAAGTAGAGGTAGCATGATTGTAACAGGACAATCCTCAAGACCTCCCTTCTAAATATTAAGAAAGCAACCTATCAATACACACAGTTTTGAGGAGACTTCTGTCAGTTTCTAGTTTGGATGATGAGGTCCCTCTGTTTGGGGCCATGAGGGTTGTGACTCGGGTTGGAACCCCCTGGGAAGCTGTTGGCCTGGGGCAACCTCCCCTCCTGTCCTAGGTAGCCTCTCCTCCTCTACCTTCCACAGAGTGGGGTCCTCCACCATCCCCAGATGCTCATCTCCTAGTGCTCATACTCCTACCACTCCCCAGCCGGGCTGACTTTCCCTGCCAGGCTGGAATGGCCTGGGTTCCACTTGCCTGGCCACAAGGGGAAGTCTGCACAGGTCACATTTCTCCTGGAGCTGGGAGGCAGGCCCAAGGGTCACTCCTCCCTATGCACACCCACCTCTAGGCAAGACTGTTAATCCTCTCTGCCACCTGAGGTTGGGACTGCCAGCTTTCAAGGACATTGGCTATTATTGGGGGCTTTATCAGGCTCATCAAACCCTTAATTACTTATTGATCCCAGCCAGTCTAGTCCCTTTAAGCCCTAATAACCCCCTGAGACCACAAAGCTGCCTCCCCAAAACCAGGCTCTTGGTGAAGCGGTTCTACCTGATGAGCAAGATCACCCCCACTGTAATAACTTGGCTGAAGAAGATAGATTAGTAAACTCTGGGTCATATATTACCTACCCATTGCACAGAAAGGAAAACCGAAGCTCAGATAAAGGAGTGACTTACCCAACGCATCAGGTCAGTTGCTGGCAGACCCAGGACTCAGTCTTCTTGATTTGCTCCTAACTACACAAAGATATATTCACAGAAATTAAAAGTGAGTCAATAAATCCTTCTTTTGCACAGAGTTCAGCCAATATAGGTGATTACTTTTACTAAAGAGATATTCAGTTATACTGATTGTAACTACATTTATTTAGCATATACCACAGGTGGGCATTGTGCCCAGTACACTACATCTTACCTGTGAGGTGGCGCTCCCATTTTGCATCAAAGGAAATAAAGAAGGCCGTAAAAAGATCGATTGCCCCTCAGGAATCTCAAGTGGAAGGCTGCTAGAAGCCAGTAGTTTACTGCTGAAGCTACAGACAAACCTCAAGGCAAAGTGAGAGGCCATGGTGGTTGGCTAGGAAGCCATGATCATTGTAACTTAAAGCTTTGTCATTCCAGAAATGCACACCTCTCCTTTCTCAACCCAGCCAGTAACTGTGCTACGGAAGGGCCAGCTGGAATCCTGTCTGCCCAACCCCTGCAGAGGTGCCCCTCCCCAATCATGTTTCCTCCCAGAGAGCCCCCCAAATGAGATATGATACTGTACCCTGAAAAACTGCCTTCCTCTTCCCTCCCCAGCATTGAGCCCACCCAGAACTTCTAAGACAATTCAGCCCAGGCCCTATGTGAAGGTTGCTGCTGGCAAGAAAGACCAAAGCCCGGCCTGGGGGGATTCTCTGCAGGCTTTGACAGAGAAGACACGGTCTCCCAAGTACACTAGGAGGAGGCCAACCCAAGTCCTGAGGTCATCTCCCTAAGGTGGGGTCCGCCAGCAACTTAGAAAGAGCCAGGCTTGGAGCCCTGCAGCCTGAGTTCCAGGCTGGGCCCGTGGGCTCCAGAAAACCCACCCTCTGCCAGGATTCTGAGCTCAGAAAACTTCACTACCACTTGCCCTTTTTAATCCACTGGGTTTTTCTTTAAAACAAAAACAAAAACAAAACAAAACAAAAAAACAAAAACCTGTATTTATCGCTTATTCCCCCTTTGGCTCTCCAGTTCTATGTAAATGGCCCACCTCCACTTTGTCTTCCTTACCCTTTCTTGCCAACCTCTTTCATCTCACTTTCACGGTTTCTCAGCTTATATTTATTTTATTTGATCTTCTTTTATATTACCATATTTTTTTATTTTCTTTTACTCTTGGTTAGCCTCATGGGCTTTTACTTTCAATTTCCCAAGCCAGCAATCTTTTGCATCGCTCGTTCTACTATTTGAGCCTTCTATTCATTTGGTTTTCCTGAGGTTGGGGATGGGGGAGTGGAGTCACCAGGGCAGGACCCACTGGTATGCCCCATTCTCTGCCCACACTCAGGTGCTGCACCTTCTCCAGGTACCCTCTCCACCACACTGCCAGTGGCACAGTATGGCACCCATGGCTGGCAGCCCAGGTAGAGGAGGACTTCTGCTTGCTGGAACCATTCCCAGTGAGGAGGAAGAAAACTGTACAGTAGTGTGTCCTCCCTAGACAGAGCACCTTATTTTTGCAGGGTAGAGACCCCTTCTTTATCCTCATTATATGGTCAGGAAACTA